AACCATCCATAATCCAGAATGTATCCTGCTCCTACGTGGGTTTCCACTGGATCCTTATCTTGTAAGTAAAAATGATCCAGATATATCTTTGATACTTTTTCCTTTAGTCCACTCCTGATGCCCACAGGTTTCTCAAATTAGGAAAATGATTATTCCCTGTACATCAATGGTGTCAGACTCAAACAGATATGCTTTTGTTCTTGTTCAGTCATTTCAGTCATGTCTGACTTTTCATGACCCCATTTGGAGTTTTCTTGGTAAAGATATTGAAATGGTTTACCATTTCCTTCTCCAGCTCATTTTACAGATGAGAAAACTGAGGCAAATGAGGTTAAGTGACTTGCCCAGGGTCACACAGCTCTGTCTGGGGCCAAATTTGAACTCAGGAGGATGAGTCTTTCTGCCTTCAGGCCCAGAGCTCTATCCACTGAGCCACCTAGCTGCTACTGAACCACACATAAGGATTCTGATGGGCTGCATACTGACTCAAATTTAAAATGTAACATTATTTACACTTTATCATATTTTTAATTATTTTGTCAAATATTTCCCAATTATATTTTAATTCAATTTGGGACACACATGGAGTGGTTAGGGTCATATGAAGGCCATGTGTTTGACAGCTACCTCAGTTGCATCTAACATTCCACATTTTGCTGAAGTCCCTTTTCAAAGGCCACCTTCTGCCCACCCAGTGCCAGGGGGACTGTTCCGATTTTGTCTCAGCATTCCCAGCATCTTGCACATTATCTGTCACATATGCCGGGTTTAATAAATTCCTGTTCATTATGGCTTATTAGGAATGTTCTCTCTTCTCACCCTTGGCTCTGTATATTAAAGTTTCACATCCTACATGACGCCCTTTCCTGACCTCCAAGTAACTAGCATTTTCTCCCACCTTCCTGTAGTCATGTTTTCCACATATTTGTATACATCAGAGGTATCAAGCATTGCTTCAGCTCCCCTAGTGAAGGCCACCACAGATTAAAATGTAATTGGAAAATAGTGAACAGAATAAATGCAAATGTGATAAAACATCAATAACATTACATTTTAAAACTGAGTCAATATGCACTCATCCTTTCTAGGGCTTAGTGGCCCCTATTTCTCTTTGAGCTTGACAGCACTGGATTCATATTGTTTTCTCCCAGTAGAATGTAAGCTTTTTAATGACATGTATTTTTGTCTTTTCCAAATCCATATTTTCATCAGCTGAGGGAGTTATCCACTGAAGAACTCCCTCTATCAATGTAAACTCCCAATCGAGACTCCACTTGTTGTCTTAAAGAGTCTCTTTGGGCACTGAAAGATGAAGAAATTTGCCCAAGGTCACATAGCCAGTATGTCACAAGCCTAGTAGAGACTTATTCCCAGGCCTTCCTGATTTAGAGTCTGGCTCTCAAGCCACCATTCCAAGCTGCCTCTCCATCTGAGGGCCTGGGAAAAAAATGATCTGTTAGTTCCCTCCTTCACAAACTAGCTTGTCTTTAACAACTTTGTAGTTTTTCCCTTTACAATTAGGCTGTATTTCCATATATGTACTTGACTTTCTCATTTGAATTCATGTAGAAATTATTTACGTAGTTATTATATTTGCATATCCAGCACTTAGCACAATGCCTGGCACATAGCACGTAATTAATTAATATTTGGTTATTGATTGATTGTTCTAAGCAGAATTATGCTGGAGCCTGCTCCAACAAGCTCAGTGAGTGCCTATGGTTACATTTTCAGCAAATGTATTCACACCCTGGATATGGGCAAATACTACAAATCAGGGTTTGACTTATTGTTTTGTTGATTGTCTAAACTTAAGCAAGGGATGGAGAAAGTGTTAATATTGCCGAATAAACTTTAGAAGTGTCCTGAGTATACTCCCCACCCCGCTTTAGACAGCTGGTTGTTAAAGATTTGCCAACACACCAGCACATAAAAGTCTGAATCTAAAACGTATTGGAGGGAAGACCAGTAGAAGTATTTGCTTTAAGAAAAAGACACACATTTTTGGATGTAGACAATATGAGAATTTGTTTTGCTTGAGTATTGTTAACCAAAACACAAAACAAATATCACAACTCAAGAAGACAAATGGGGGGGGGGACCTTAACGTCATGCATGTTTGTTACAAGGGTTTTGTTCTTCTGTCTGGTACAATCCCTCATCACCTCACACCTGGATTATTGCAACAGATGGATGGTAGGTGTGCCTGCTTCAAATCTCTTTCTACTCCAATCCATCCTACCTTCAAGTATTAAAGTGATTTTCCTAAAGCACAGGTCGGATTATATCACTCTCTCTCTCCCCCAATAAACTCCAGTGGTTTCCTATTGCCTCCATGATCAAATACCAAATGCTTTGTTCAGCATATAAAATCCTTCATAACTTAGTTCCCTCTTACCTTTCTCATCTTCTTATACTTTACTCCCAGACTTGTATTCTTTTATCCAGTGACACGGGCCTCCAGGCTGTTTGAAGAACAAGAAACTCTCAGCTCCAGGCATTTTCCCTAGCTGTTCCCCAGGCCTAGAATGTGCTCCCTCCTCCTCCTTCACTCCAACTATACCTCCCCTAGCTTCCTTCAGAGCCCCATTAAAATTCCACTACTGAAAGCCTTCCCCAATCCCTCTTAATTCTAATGCCTTCTCTTGGTTAATAATTTCCTATTTATCCAGTATTCAAATGGCTTTGTATAGATTTGTTTACATTTTGTCTCTTCCATTAGATAGTAAACTCCATGAAGGTAGAGTATGTCATTTGCCTCATAGTAAGTACTTAATAAATATATATGATTGGTTAATTGATTTTCAAAGGGATTGTGGGAGGAAGAGAAAATAAATTATTTTTTTAATTTTTTTTTTGAGGAGAATTTTCTGTGGGAAGATTTAGCATACCCCAGTCTATGTGACTATCGGCAAGTTAACTTTACCCTTCCATTCCCCAAGAAACTCTCTGTAGCTATAAGTAGCAAATAAGTTTAAATTCTGGCTTGATAAAGAAAATTCCTCAGTGCTGGCACACTATACCTATAAAATCTTTGGCCTAACCAGATAAGTTTAGTTTCATAATGTAGTAAGGAGAGAAAGTAGAGTGTAGTGATGAGAGTTGAACCTTTTGCCATAGAGTCATGGATTAAAGTATTACCCCCACCTTAGATTGATTGGCATGACCTTGGGGAAGTCTCTTGTTAACCTCTTGTTATTCTGGGTAACTCTAATACTTCATTGGTAGAGTTTCCTCATCTGTGAATTCCCTCAAACAACATTTCTCAAAATGAGCTACAAGAAACCCTGAAATACACTAAGGATTTTTTTTAAATAATAACGTGTTATTTGTTAATAGACATTTTTTTTAAAAAAATCATTTTAGAATATTTTACTACAAGGGTTCTGACAATGTTTAAAATGAAGGAATTCTTCAATCTCTATCCTGTTCCTTATGGGAGGAGTAGAGAACAGAAGGGAGAGGGGAGAGATTTGGAATCATAAACCTGAGTTTTAGTTCTAGTGCTTTCCTTTATAAATTGGTAACCACACTAGATGTTCATCTTCTCTGAACTTCAATTTCCTGATTCCTAAAATAGTTATAACAATGCCTTTCTCTCCTATCTCTTGAGGTTGTTGTAAGGATCATACTAAGTAAATGTGCATTGTAACCTATAAAAGAGCCTATTTTTTTCTTAATTTATTCTAATATCTTCTATTTCAGTAGATTATGAAAGACAGAGACTATAAGTAAACATAAGCAAAAATAGGAGAGAGAGAGAGAGAAACAGGAAAAGAGGATAGAGAGGAAGATGGAGAAGAAAGGGAGGGAGGAAAAGAGAGAGGGAGACAGACAGAGACAGGGAGACTGAGGCAGAGAGAGACAGATGAAGAGACAGAGATGAAACTTTTTGCATTGCACAGACAAGTCCCGTTTTAGATCCATTATCACACTAGTTTTCTGTACCTGATTAATGTGGTCTTTCGAAATGGCAGTGAAGAAGAAAACAGCTTCATTTCACGTGAACTTGACAATATAATGGGGTGAGCATTCCTGTAATTTATTATTGAGATTACCTGGGTAAAGCAGGGCTTGAGTGCCTCTTTAATTAGGAACAGCAGCTTCTGACTCCCTAAGGGAAGGGAGATTGAGGTAAGGCTATTGCCCGCCCAGGGCAAAGCCAAAGAGTTCCAGTCCCCTCCTCACCGCCTCCTCTCCCCCCAAAAAAGTTCTCTGCTACAAAGGGATTTCGCTAAGGAAGAACTGTTCTAACTCAGAGTGCACAATATTCTACAACTCCCAAGAGGTTTTGTGAAGGGCTGTGTAGTACAGACAGATCTCAGAACAACTTCATCAATTACTGCTTTTGATGTCCTATCACTTCTAATCTCTAGGCTCCAAACAATTCGATCCAATCAAAAGGAAAGGTACCTACATAACACTTCCCCCCAACAAAGTTCAGATGCCATCGATTGGACAATGCCACAGAATAGGAAAGAGGAGAGGATGGAATGAAGAACTAGTTTGATGAAAGTGACTTCTCTGAGACTCGTGGATCTGATGACTTGATTCACTTTATTACCTACAAAGTATCTTTTCCAGAAAGCTTTTATTTTAATCAAAAGATCATTCATTGAAATATAAATAATTATCAACAATTATTCAGGAATTTTCCTGAGTCTTACTTCTCTAAGACCATCACTCTCTATCTATGAATCTTGCAGATTCAAAATGGGTACAAGGAAGGGTGAATTTTCCTCTCTCTTCACTAATGCATTCAATAGGTTTATCAGCTATCCTGGCTTACTTGACTATCGATGGCTTAAACTATATTCCCTAAGCTTTGCCTGGGATGGAGATATAAACCAAAGGATTTCACTATTAACACTGGATGAAATTTTGTATAACATATAAAATATTTTCAATGATTAATTTCAATAATTCAAATAGTTTTCCTGTGAAATCACAAAATCAGATGTTGTTGCTAATATTTAATAGTTTTTGTTATACACAATACATCATGCTTAGAAATGAAATTTATTTGGAATGTTTTCTGTCCAATTCTTTTGATTAAAAAAAAATCACATTCAAGAAACCACAATTGCAGAAAAGACAAAAACAATTCTGTTCTTTTGTCATATAACTTTCACATTGATATGCTTGTATGTTGAATTATAAGGACCACGAAGCACAGTTACTCATAAACTAAATTTGATATTTTTTCCTCCTTTTCAATAGTAGGAAGCACTCCTTTTAAGTATGTAGGGTCTTCTGGCTTTATTCACATGGAGTTGCCGCTTCAGGATATAAGGGGTTTTCCTTTTCATTACTTCTTCTTTCTCACGGTTCAGATTTCCAGAATCCAGAACATCTTCTTGCAGTAGCTGTAATACATACAGAATCTGAATGAATCAGGGATATACAATTATAATCCCTTATACATACATACCATTTTAAAGTTGACAAACTCCTTTCATTTAGTGGAGAGAGTGAATCACCTGGAGTGAATCAGAAAGGCCTGAGTTCAAATCAGGCCTCAGACACTTAAGAGTTGTATTACCCTACCCTGTCCTTTTACCTCTGCCTGCCTCAGTTTCCTCATCTGTAAAATGGGGATAAAGTTAGCACCTACCTCCCAGGGTTATTGCAAGGAAAAAGTGAGATAACAATGCTAAGGACTTTTTCAAACCTTAAAGAGTTCTATCAATGTTAGCTATTATTACCATTATTAATAATATCACATTTGCCCCTCAAAATAACTCCAGTTTTATAGCTAAGGAAACTGAGAAGTTAAAAGGCCTGATTCAAGGTCACATGACAAGGGGGAGAAGTAGGCCAAGAACAGAAGACTCTTGACTGGTAACACAATGTTCTTCCCATTATCCCTGTACTTTATGGTGGGTTCTACATAGTTCATGTACATCAGAGACATGCCCAGGGGATCCTGAAGGATCTTAGGGCATTTTTCATGTTCTTTTAGTTTAGGTGGCTAGTCCAATATAGGAGACAATTAAACAGAAGGACTTGTCTTCAATTCATTCAGAGCCCTAGTCAGTCTCTGGCAAGACTAGAAAGCCATCTCATGGACAAAAAAAATAAAAGGCTTGAGTGAATTTCTATAGTTTTCCATTACATTGATCAGTTATGGAAATAATCTAAGGGTTTATTTTGCTTCAAGGCCAACCCAATGTAACACTGGGATCCAAGGAGAAACCTAATCTTTTGTTTTTTTACTAGAGTAGTCACAAACTTTTGGGATATCCTAGAACTCAGATTCCTATGATCATTCCAAATCATTCTAGATTCACATCTCTGGGATTGATATAGCGGGGTGGGGAAAGGAATTGGTCAGGGGAGTTGGAATAAGAATGAGGAAAACAGATGATACTTCCTCAGTGCAAGACCTTTTTGATATGCTGAACATCTAAGACAATGCCACAAGCAAGTGTCATAGGCCCTGAATAAATGTTAGTTGAATTGAATGTGTTGAATAAGGCATCACTCCAGTCCTTAATTAATGTCCTTGGTGCTGGTTTGTGTTCTTGTTTTTGTTTTCCTGTCAAAACTGATGTCACCCTAGCTTCTAGTTATCTCATATGTACTATGCATTCCAGGCAAGGCTTACTTCATGTTTCCATATACGACCTCTCTGTGCATGTATTATTTCCCTCCAATAGAATGTAAGCTTCCTGAGGGCAGGGTATCTTTGTATCCCCCAGGATCTAACACTGTGCCTAGAAACCAATAAATGCTTAATAATTTTGATGACTTCATGTGAATTGGATAGAATGGAATTCCATGGATTTGTGGTATGCCTCTTGACCCAGTACAAAACAGAATGAGAATATCTAATCTGAGGAGACAGGGAGAATAAATGAGGAAACAAGGTCAACCAGGTATGGCCTATTCTTGATGAAGCTATATTTGTTTGTTTTTTGATGATTGCTAGATTTTGAATACATATTTTCATAACTTTTAATTGAATATTATAGAAATTTGTCAAGAATCAAAATCCAACTCTCTGGCTCATGCTTTATAGACCTTTACGAGCCCCTTTTCAGTCTTTGGAAAGCCTGTCTATTTACCAGGATTTTTTCATGATAACTACCCCTGCCAGTTCCTAATAATACCCTAATGTTATTTGTCTAATCCTGATGACTTAAACTTATCGAAGGCAGCCACGTCCTCCCTTACCACCTCCTCATTTATCTTCGGTTTCACCTCCCTGTTAATTATTTTTGTTTTATCATCCCCAGTCTAAAGATCATCCTCCTTGGAAAGAAAACAAGCAAAAGAAGTTTTGAGTGGTTCATCCTTCTCACTATCATTCATTACCAACATCCCATTCACCCTGAACAATCATTCTCTCTCTTTGATTCTGCTCTTCTCCTCGACATAGATAAAGATCCATTTTCTACAATCCCAAATTTTCAATCTCAAGTTTTAGGCCATTCTGAATGCATTTCAGACACAATTCTTATTAGACTGTGCTATATTTTAGTATTTACCTTCATTTATCTCTTGTTTGAATCTTGTATACATAGCTTTAAAAAATGATTAGTTAATGATTTCCCCATTTAACCCTATATGCAGGGCCCTATGTTTCCCTCATCATGGGAATTCCTTCTGTTGGTGTCTTCATAATATCACTCTCAGAGATTCCCATGACTCAAGAGTATTAGATCATTGTTTTCTACATCCTTTCTCTGAATCATTTTAAGTCGCCTCTCTCCAAATCTAAAATGCACATCAAATTACGTCTGATATTCTTCTCTGTCTCAAACTTCATGATAATTTTGTTACCTGCCTCAAGGTTTGCTGCTGGTTCCATTGAAGAAAAAAAAAATCCCTCTTTGATGATGAGAAATAGGTTCAGAATAGCAGTTCTCCCATATACATCCATTTGAAAGAGGAGATGAAGTTGTACATTTTTTAGCTTTCCTGCTGCTAGTGGAGCAGGGGTTAACCTTCAGCAGATGTCCAGAGAGTTGAAGTCTCTAATTGCTTCTGAATCATGCTTCCACATCAGGTATGTGGCATTTCATTAACTACTCATAAAATTCCCCCTTCTGTCTAAGGGTATTGAGAAATATTTTGATAACAACATCACTTCCATTTCTCTCTCCATTGATCCTCACCCAAATGTTTTCAGTACAACTTGCTTTTCAGGTTCCTATATTTTCTCATCTGTCTGTATCTTCTGAATATATAATGATATTCCAACCAAAGAATTCATCTATTATTTATCTTGAATAAAGTATATATCCTTCTGGAATTTTATTCTGGTCATTAGTCACATCTTACCATGTCTCAGTGATGCCTGTGAATTCAAATTTACCTTATTGTGTTAGGAACTCTCATTATATTTAGTATTCATAGTTCATGCCTCTTTTTTTTAATATAAACATCTCATTCTATTGGTTGTTAGTTATTTTCTCATATGAATTATGTTGCTTTTCCTGCTAATTTTTCCATGTTATGACTGCTTGTTAAATTTGGGAAATCTGTATGGCATTTTCTCCCTACCCTTTCCTTTCTATCCACTTTATAAAAATCCAGGAAAATGTGCTTTTACCAAACCTTATTAAGTATTCTCCAAAACAAGTAATACATTCTACAATAGTGTTTTATAAATTATCTTAATTATTCTACTACAGTTTAATTCTTATGCAAGATATTAAGCATAGTAGTGTAGTAGTAGTAGTAGTAGTAGTAGTAGTAGTAGTAGTAGTAGTAGTAGTAGTAGTGGTGGTAGTAGTAGTAGTAGTGGTGGTGGTGATGGTTGTGATACTTAAACAATGTTTTTTTTGCAAAGAACTTTACATCCATTATTTTATTTGATCCTCACGGCAACCCTATAAAATAGATGCTATTATAATTCTTATTCCTCTGATGAAGAAACTAAAACAGAGGTTGAATGACACAGGTAGCAAGTGTCTGAGACAAGATTTAAACTCAGGTCTTCCCAGATCAAGTTCCACACTCTATGCCCTCTACCATCAAGCTACCTTTATAGATAGATAGATAAACAGATGAATAAATAAATGTGTGTTGAGTTAAATGTTTATGAAAAGGGGTGGGGAAGAAGTAATCTAGACCAGTTTTGATCTAATTCAACATCAGTAATTACAAGTAACTTTTGGTAAGCAGTGGTAATTTGCAGGGCATAGAATTTCTCTCCTCTCCTGTTCTTCATTAGTGAGAGGTGCATAAGTTCAAGTAAATGAACAGCTTTCTAAGCCTTTGCTCCCAGTATTCTAATCCTTATATTAATATGTGAGTCTTTTTACAATCTAAACAACTTTCATTTAATGGTCTTTTTTTTTTATGTGTTCAGTTGGTGGTGCTGCCTCACAAGACCCTACCAGACTTCCCAACTCAGAAAACCTGAAAATTAATTCAGTGTCTATAGGCTGTTCTTCCCATATGCTCTTCATGGTTATTAACTAGCCACTGTGTTCCTATCCTGGAAGCAATGAGCTGAGGTTGAAGCATACTAGCTCTACCATGATTAATTGGCAACCCAAGAGAGTTATGGAATCTCCATACTAAATCTTGATGGGAAAAGGCCACCATGCATGGCTTATACTTAAAAGCACTCTGAATACTTATTTTAATGATATGATGTTCCAATATTTTACAGACAGAAAATTTAAAAACCATTTTAGAAAATCTATTTCCAGTTGCTTGCCCAACGTAGGATAAAAGATTTAGTCAGACCTTTGTTATGTCTGACAAACTTTGAGTTCATTATATTGTCAGTAAATCACTTAATAGAATTTAAAGGACAACCAACTGAATAAACTGAATAAAATCTTGAAGTAATAGATTTCAACCTGCCGTTACTCCCTATGAGGAGGAGAGGAAAAAAAAGTACTAAGAGAAAATACCATTTCCAAATCTTTAGTTTTTCTATACAAAGTCCATAACTACTTTCGCTGTACCTTAAATAATATCATTTTATTTCTAAATCATTCAATAATGTGTTAATTTTTTTTAAAAAGCCCACTACTTTATAGCCTTTATTTTCTTATCTGATATATCATGTATCAGAATATGTCTCATATGACAAATCACGTCTTCCTTTTCATCTTTTTTGGTCAGGATGAAGGAGTCTTTGCCCGAAAAAAATCTGTCTTGTTATTTGCCTGTTGTACCCATGAGAATCTTATCCTCTGTTGTCAATAGTATGACATAGAATAGACAATATAGGGCTGGTGGGCCATGGAATTAGGAAGACCCATTGGCTTTCCTGCCTGTGACACATATTAGCTGTGGAATCAAAAGCAAGTCAGCTAATTTCTCAGTGCTCTACACAACTCCCTAAAACTATACATTTTGGAGAAGTTGTTGATCTGTATCTGTAAAGAAAGTTAAGAGAATACTAGGAGTTTCCCCCCCAAAAAAAATAAAATATAGTTCTAGATCCCCTAGCCCTATAGCTTCCCCCTTCCTTCAGTGATTTACAGAAGCAAGATCTTTGTTTAAAGAAATTAAATTTGTTTAAAGAAATTAAGCATCCTTTCAATCAAAGAATGACTAAATTCACTGGCAAAATGAAAATTAGTCAGGTCTACAGATTTTCTTCCCAAGAATTTCTGTTCTGTATGCCTTAATGGGAACATTGGAAGTCATCCTGCTATCTTTCCTCTTTCTCTCTGTGACAGACTGGAAAAATTACTAATGATAGTCCACGGTGAATACTGTGATCAACATAAAACTCGGATATGAAAGATGAGGGACAATCATCACAGTTATCAATCCAAAAGACTATTTAATTCTACTCCTCCCCCAGCCCACCACTGAAAGAATTAAAAAAAAAAAAACCAAAGATGTTTATTTTACTTGCCAGGATTTTATTTCCCCACAGCATTGAAATAAATTCAATAAATATTTACCAATCACCTCCTAAGTGGAGAGTGAGAGGCAACATGGTTCAGACTATAGGGAGCCTATCTCTGAGCCAGGAAGACATTGGGTCAAAATCTGCATCTGATACATATTGGCCCAATGAGCCTGGCTAATCTGCTAATCCTCTCAATGTCTAAGGCAATTAAAACTAGAAGTAACAGGGAAAATGCTAATATACATTGGCAGAGGGAAATCCTCATTGGGAGTTCCCTACTTCAGCAATGAAATCATATGTCCATCTATTCCTGTGTACAAAGCCCTATGTGCTGGGCTGGGGGTTGGGGGGTCAACTCCCATCACCAAGTAGCTTATGTTCTACTGAATTTCGATGCTAAGCCTTTCCAAAAGTTCAAGATGGTCCCAAACTCATCCACTTAGGTAGCAAAACATCAGCAACAATCCCTTCACTCTCTTAGTGGACATCAGATAGTCCCACATGATAGATTATACATTAGCATCTTTGAAATAAAGTTCACAGAACAGATCCACAGAATAGGAGAGATAATCATATTAATAATACCTAACATTTGTACAACACTTTATGGTTTGGAAAACACACACATAGACACTATGCACACACATACATACAAATAAAGTTATATATTCTCATTTGAGCCTCACAATCACCTTTTGAGGTGGGCACTATTACCACCCCCATTTTGTAGATGTGGAAACTGAGGCACAGAGAGATTTGTAATTTTTCCAGGTTCACAACAAAGTGTCTGGGGTGGGATTTGAACTCAGTCTTGCTGAGTTCTCTACTCTCTTAATATATTGCTGTATCTACTGTGGCAATATTCAGTTTGCTATGAGATAAGGTAACTTTTATCTATGGCTAAGTAGGATTCTGGGCTTCAGATGATTTGTTCTGGGCATGATATTAAAGTTAAATTATATTATTATAAATAAACTTTATAATCAAAAACTTCTGGTTAACAGCTCCAAATCATACATTTGATGTAGGAATAATTAAACACGATTATCTAGACTGAAATTTTATAATTATTGGTTCACTAACTTATTGAGAAAATTTGTTACTCCTGATGCACCAAACTATTGCTCCTATAGGTCCTCAAAAATGAATTCCTTTTTCTATTCGTCCATGATTATATTTCCTTGCAGTAGCTCTGGCTCCCTCCTTATCCTGAGCATTTCGTCTGAACACTCCAAACCACAGGCACTGAGATGTGTTAATCACTAAGGCAGAAACAGTCGGAAGTTGAGAAATTATGTGTTTTATCAATTCACCATTCTGTTTGTTTTGGAAGACACTGACTTAGACATGTCCTTGCAGTGCTGAATAATGAACAATATTTTATAATTGAGTTACAGTGCGGTTGACGGGAGTTGCTGAAAACAAATGAAATTCATACACAGTGGAAACGGGATACCCTATTTTGAGATGCACTAACTGCTACTCAAATTGTACTAGTCTAATAAATTCTTATAACAACTGAAACCATTCCTAGTGTGAAATTATTGACAGAGGACCAATAATGATTTCATGGTTCTTGACAAAAATATGAATATCTTGAACTCCCTAAGATTCCTTGGGCATCAAAAAAGTCCTTCCTTGAGTGTGAATTAAATACATATTATATGGATTAAATCTCCATTAAATTATATCCTCCTCTAAATTTGGAGGGAAATATTGTACTCAACCCCAAATATTTGAAATGACTTTGATGGCTGCCAGAATTGGGAACCACATCCTTCATTTCCAACATTTGTGAGTCTTGCTACTATACTACTTGTCAGAATTGGAAGGAAATCAAGAGAAATCGGCACGGCACCAGTGTAACAAAAAGTAGGTTTGCATTCCATGTCTTACCTCCCAGTGTTGAAAGGCTCTGCTCTGACAGATTTTCTGGATCTGGAAGATGGTCAGCATTGCCTCCAAGTTAAAGCCATCTAAAGCTGAGAACTGCCTTCTCAAGAGAAGCTCATCTTCGCCAATCTCTCCTATTTCTTCAGCTTGGTTGTTTAAGTTATTGACAAGGTTGCACACATTCAGCAGGGTCATTTTCCAATGAGGAAATCTTGCTTTACTGATCTGTGATAGGCAAAGGAATATATAAAACTGAAGATCCCATCTTCAAATTTGGTTTACATCTGAGAAATGGGTAAACTGGTGATAGGATCAAGCTTGACATTTTAAACAAACTGCTATGTTTTATGTTAGATTCTGTGTTTAAAAACCACAGTCGTTGGCTCACCACATCTAATGAGCTGGGAGGGACCTTAAAAATCACCTTCTCAGTTCAGAACCCTCATTTAACTAATGAGGAGGCTGATATATGGTAGTAATTAAAAACTGTTGCTAAACAAGGAAATTATTAATTATTTTATCTTTTGCAGTCTTTTTTTTTTTGATGAGGCAATTGGGGTTAAGTGACTTACCCAGGGTCACATAAGCTAGTGAGTGTTATGTGTCTCAGGCTGGATTTGAACTCATGCCCTCTGACTCCAAGGCCAGTGCTCTATCCACTGTGCCACCTAGCTGCCCCTAGTCTTTCTAATGAAATATTATTTGAAGATGTTTCTAAAGTTGTGATTATGTGAGAATAGATTTTGAAATGCGTCTACTTTTATATTTTAGAAACTCAAATGCCAATTAGTCATTTAGCAGCTGCATTTTACTATTCAGATAAAAAGAAAGAGGGGAGAATGTAGTTCCAATGACCATCATTATTCCATGAAAGCCAAAATCATCAACTATGTTGTGAGATATGAAGAGGAATGGCAAAGTAGGGGGCTGACCTATAGGACTGTAGAATATTTTAAATAGAAAATAGTAGTAGTAACAAATTAATATCATAATAGCAAGAACTAGCATTTCACATATATTCTCATTTGATCATCATAATAACTTGAGAAGTCAAGTACTACAGATATTGTAATTCTCATTTTATAGATGAGGAAACTGAGGCTCAGAGAGAAATTAAGGAACTTGAGAGGCAGCTAGGTGGAGCTATAGTGAACAGAGGGGTTGGGCCTGGAGTCTGGAAGACTTTAGTATAAATCTGGCTTCAGACACTTGCTAGCTGTGTGACCCTGGGCAAGTCACTTAACCTCTGACTGCCTCGGTTTACACATCTATAAAAGGAGGGGAATAATAATAACACGTACTTTTCAGGGTTGTTGAAGAGTAAAATAAAATAATATTTGTAAAGTGCTTTGCAAGCCTTAAATCACTACTTAAATACTGTCTATATACCATGGACATACAACATGAAGGTGTGGGCTGAAATTAGAACACAGGTCTTCCTGACTCTGAGTCCAGCACTCTATCCACTCCTCATAAAAAAGAGAAAGGACTGGAACTGGAGAGCCATAGGTACCTCCTTGATCTCTAATCCTATGACCCTAGGGGGTCACCTGCATGCAAGAACAGCATGGCATTGTAGATGAAGAACCATTCTGGGGGGAAGTAAGGCCTCCAGGATCAAGCCCTGCCTCTGGCACTTCCTGACTACGTATCCCTGAGTAGACCCCTTAAACTTTCAGCATTTGAAGCAACTTCCTAAGATTAGAAATTGAAGAGAACCCATGGGGACCTGAATTGGTAGAAAGAGTTTCCTGACCTGGGAGTTCCAACGTCTAGCCCTGATCTTATGATTCTATGAATATTAGTAATATCACAAGTATTAGTAAGTGTGAATGCTATTAATTATGATCCTTAACCATTAATAATATTGACAGGATCAACAATTCTCACTGCCTTGCAGAAAGTTTACTAGAGAAGGTGATACAAAGGGGACTGTGTGTGTGTGTGTTTTTTTAACATAACATAGTATTAGAGACATGAACAGAGTACAATGTGTGTTCCCCAGTCTTCAGTTACCTTCAGAATAAACAGTAATGCTACAAACAAAACCTTACCCTGAGCTTCTTCAGGAAATCAGGTCTTGCAAAACAGATAAGGTACAGTAAGAAAAATAGATGTTATCGTTTCATTATTTAGTCACTACAAATTCATTCATCATTTTAAAAAAAGTGACAGCCTCTCATTTTCTGTACCTTCTAGTAGGTAATAAAAGCACGTATGTAGACCAGAAATGCCGACAAGGTCAACAGAATGAATATGTATGCAAAATTCAAAGAGCCAGGAACTAAGGAAATATTAAAAACTCACAAATGTTCCATTGTACATTCTAATCTAAAGAATTTACCCAACTCAATTCAACTGAACAAATACTTCTTAACCACATGAAAAAGGCAAGATACTATGCTCGGTTTGTTGGATACAATGAATTTTAAAAGAGAATCTTTTATTCCCCCAAGTAGAGTTCACTCTACTTTACTGCCATGATAATGATATATAAGAGCTAAGGGCAGTATAAGAACAGCTCTGGTAACTGAAGGACGGTGGGCAGGTAGGTACTGCAGATGGTTAGGTAGCACAGTTGGACAGAGCTCCAAGCCTGGAGTCAGGAAGACCTGAATTCAAATCCAGCCTCAGACACTTACTAGCTGTGTGACCTTGAGCAAGTCACTTAACCCTGTTTGCCTCAGTTTCCTCTCCTGTAAAATGAGCTAGAGAAGGAAATGGCAAACTACTCCAGTATCTTTGCTCTCCAAAAAAAACACACAAATGGGGTCACAAAGAGTTGGACGCAACTGAATAACAACAACAAAAACTGTAGGACTGTCTCCATATAAGTAGGTCTCATCATTTTGTATAGCATCAGTGCTTTCAGTGATCAGATTCCACAGTAATTACCTTTGTTCTTCCCATAGAAAACAGCTTCAAAAAATTACTATGAATGAGCTATTAAGAAAGTAGCTTAACTTCCTGTCAAGTTGGTGTCCTCATTACTCCTTAATATATTTTATAGATGAGGATTTATAGTTCTTCTCTATAATCAATTTCAAAAGCAAGAAACAAAGTAAAGTTTTAAAAAACTAAACTAAAAATCAAAAAATTATCCTTTCCAAACTATTTTTAAAAGTTTTAATTTTAATTGTCCTCCATAGAGACAGATATAGTAGTTTGATGAATGTGCTGTATTAGGAAACATATAAGACTATATCTAGAGGAGGTGAAATTATTCCTGGTTTTGGAAGCTCTACCTTGTGCCTTCAAAGCTGGCCAAGGTGGAGATGAGAAATAGTTGTCATTCTAATAGAATAGAAGCTCTTTGAGGCCAAACAGTGCTCCATTTTGGTCCTTCTTTTCCATTCAATTCCATTTCCATTCCAGCAGTGCCTGGCACTTAGTAGACACTTGATAAATGTTTATTGAACTCAGTTACTGAAATAGTATAACCTAAAGTGCTCTTGTCTGGGCATTACAGGATCTGGGTTTTATGATACCTATCGACCCTATAATCTTGCGCAAGTCTCTCAACCTCTGTTTATTTCTCTGTAAAATGGGAATGGAATAGGCAAACCACTCTGGTATCTTTGCCAATGAAAACCCTAATGGGGTCGTGAAGAGTCAGATGTGACTGAAACGATTGAACGACAACAAAAAAAAATGGCAATGAAAAACAGGGTGTCATAGAGGATAGAAAGCTCGCCTTGGATTAGAGGACTTTTCATTTCTGACACATATCAGATGAATGATTGTGGGCAAGTAATTTACTTTCTCGATATCCCAGGAATAAAGTAGGTATATATCATATACATGGGGAAATGACAGTCTTGGTACAAAATGGAGGAAAGTAAGGGGAAGAAGGGACAGAGAACATGTTAGGAAGAATTTGATTGTCAGTAATTTTGGAAAGCTCGTATTTTAACCATCTTCGTACATTTTCAGAGCCCTTCTGGTACCTTTAGGTCACCTTCTCATACTAGGGGTTAAGTAACAAACAGTATATTCTGTTCAAACCACCACTTTATTCTAACACCTTATCCCTCAGTCTAATGAGACCTTATTAGGTATTCCATCCAGATGACATGAACAGGACGTTCATAAATTTGAAAGGATGGGAGATATTGAAAATGAAATTAATTCCTTTGAAAAATGCCTAAATCACCAACAGCTGCCTGAAAATAAGGAAAATATAAATTTTAATGGAAGTCTTCTTGGGTTTAATTTTAAATATTTCTGGCTTATATATCCATTTACATGGAAGTGAAACAGTTGTTTTCTAGATTTAAAATATAAATCTAATAATCCAGTTATCTTTTCAACTATCTAAGTCAACAAATATGTTTGGGGTAGGTTTCATGGTGTATGAAATGAGTTTTCTCCCCTTACCTCCCTTTACTATTTTAATGTCTCCTACTAACCATTGTTATTTTACCAAAAGTATTTGTTTCTTTTTAATTTCCCTGCTCAGGATAGAGCCATCATTTGGCTTCCTTTTCCAACTTCATAATATTGATGCATGCCTTTGTAATTACAAATTTCTATTAAACACATTGAAAACCTATCTTTCCCTCCCTCCCAAAAAAATAAAAAAAAATTTTCATTGAACAAATGTAGAGCTATAATTTAGGTTAACAAGAAACATGGAATAATTATATTTTGGGGTCTTCGTCAAAATGTTTCCTAAAGGAATAAATTTAAATGTTGCTTTTTAAGCAACATTTTATGTTTGTTCAAATAAGGAATTAAGCATCTTTTTAGCCACGGCTTTGCCTGAAGACAAAAAACAAAACAAACAATAACAACCACAACAATAACAAAACAACCCTTTAAATCCAAAATTAAGTCTCCAACTATGAAAACTAACATAGTCAGGGTCCATTCTCCTTGAGGGATTGTTCCATGTAAGAAGTGTTGGTAATGGGGCAGCTAGGTGGCCACAGTAGATAGAGCACCAGCCCTGGAGGCAGAAGGAACTGAGTTCAAATCATACCTTAGACACTTAACACTTGCTGTGTGACCCTAAGCAAGTCACTTAACCCCAATTGCCTCACCAAGAAAAAGTATTGGTAAAAGTAAAGGTTTCTTGATCAATAAAATGAAAAGATTCAATCACGTGATCTCTAAAATACTTAATATTCTATATCTTCCACAATAGAAATAGGAAATGGAAAAAAAATCAAAAATTCATAGTACTGTAGATTTAGACGTTGTATTTCATTCAATTCAATTCATTTACTAAGTTCTTGTTATGTAACTTTGCCAGTTTGGGGGGATACAAAGGGTGGGGCTAGGAAAGCCACTCTCCTCAAGAAGCTTACTTGTAATGAACTTTTTGTTTTTTTTTTTTTTGATTTTGCTTTTTTTTTTGGTGAGGCATTTGGGGTTAAGTGACTTGCCTAGAGTCACACAGGCAGTCAGTGTTGTATGTCTAAGACCAAACTTGAACTCAGGTCCTCCTGACTCCAGAGCCGGTGTTCTATCCACTGCGCCACCTAACTGCCCCGGTAATGGACTTTTGAAGTCATAAAATTCAACCTTCTCCTTTTACAGGCGAGGAAACTGAGGTCCGGAGAGGTGAAATGATTTATTCTCCATTCTTTGATTCCCAGACTAATGAGCCCCACTAAAGGAGAGGCTAAGTAATAAATAATTAATAATACTACTACTAATAAAAATCTAGTACTTATATAGCACTTTAAGGTTCAAAAAGTTGTTTATAAATATTATTTTGTTCTCCTAACATCCCTGGAAGATAGATGCTATTATTATCATCCCCATTTTATATATGAGGAAACTAAAAGCAACAGGTTCAATGACTTGCTGAGAATCTAGCCATACAAGTAGTCAGTTTCTGAGGTCGCATTTGAACTCAGGTCTTCCTGACTCCACAGCCAGAACTCTATCTACTGTGGTACCACCCACCTGCCTCAATATCAGAAGATCTTAGGTTTAGAGCTGGAAAGGAAATGGGCTCAGAAATTCTCTAGTCAAATCTCTCCATCATTCAGCCTGCTGCTGGATCAATAACACACACTATAAGGAATTCACTATAAGAACATTGAGCTAAGTGGAAATATATTCCTCTGAAATTATCTAGCCATATCAATTAGATCTAACCAGAGATGTGTATTTGCTAGTTGTCTCTGATGGATTTCAATCCAGTTTCTCTGAGAAGGTGCAGAGAAACAAATAATTGATCATCTTTAAGTTGGAGAGAAGTCCTGCTTATGAAGTCCAGGACTCACAGATCAAATTAAGAGATCTGATGCTAAACTCTCACCTATGTGGGACAAGGGATGTCAGAAAATCCTGAGTATAAATCCTAATACTAACTATATAACTTCGGGCAAGTCATTTAACCTTCATTTGTCTTAGTTTCCTCATCTGTAAAATGGGCATAATAATAGTGCCTACCTGCCAGGATTATTGTGAGAATAAATAAGATAATATTGAAAAGTGCTTTGAAAAACTTAACACACTGTATAAATGCTAGCCATTGCTTACTATTATTGTTGTTTAAAAAGAAATCTCTAGCCCTTCAAACGATGAATATTAGATTCATAACCAATCTTCATCTTAGTCACATCCTGAGCGCTTTTGGAATCAAGAGATCTGAGAGATGATCTTGACTGGATTATGGGCCCAATATATGGGGGCACTCCCTCCCTAATCCCCCTAGAAAGAATAATATTAATGTTGAGTCAGTACAATGAGTTGTATCTGCTTTAGTCTCAGAATTCAGTCAGGACTATATCTTAGATTCCCTGGTGTCAAAAACATTCCTTTGGTTCTTATCATAAGCTACCATCATGACCAAATATACTTTATGGCACAATATTGGGAATTATTGTTCTGTCAATGTTGGTTCTGGCGTCCTTGGAGGGAGATTAATCATTAGGTGTTTGCCACATATAGTCCAGGAGTCAGTATCGCTGTGCTTAGGTTCCCATAAACCAAGCATGAGCTTACTGGAGTGCTTTATCCTTCAGTATTAACTGGAGGGCAGGGACTGTTTCAGAACGTGTGCACTTAGCATTGATACATAGTAGGTGCTTAATAAATGTTTTTTGATTGTTCAAATCTGGCACTACCTTCTCCAGGAAATCTCGTTGATTACTACCTCTGCCCAGATAAGAGTTATCCCTCATGTTTCAGTTGTCCTTGCACTACGCTATCTTATATATATGTGTGTGTGTGTGTGTGTGTGTGTGTGTGTGTGTGTGTGTGTGTGTGTGTGTGTGTATGTAGGTGTGTATACACACATATATATGTATGTACTTTGTGAATGTATTGACTCCTCCCCCTCAAAAAGATAAGCCTTTAAAGAGTAGAGGTTACTTCATTGGTGTCTCTTTCTCATGCTTGAAATGGTGCCTGACACATAGAAGGTACTTGCCTGAAATGAATTGCCTTTCGTACTCAAATATGTCAGGCCCACAGAAAACACCAGTGGTCCTGGGTTCTATAATTATATGATGGAATATGCTCAAGAACAAGAAACACTCAGTGTTGGATGGCCCAAATTATTTGAGTCCATAACTATTCTCATTTAATAAAATTAGCATTAATAATAATAAATTATGGCTAACATTTATATAGGGCTTTCTATAATTGGGCACTGTGCTAAGTCTCCTCATTTGATCCTCACAGCAGCCCTGGGAGATAGGTGCCATTATCATCCTCATTTTACAGATGAGGAAACTGACACAAATAGAAGTTGTGATTTGTCCAGGTCATACAACCAGTCTGAGGTCAGATTTGAACTCAAGTCTTCCTGACTCCAGGCCCAGTACACTAACCACTGTGTAAGCTAGCTGCCCCAAATAATATTTAGTCATATATTTAGCATAAATGATATTTAGCACCTAAAAATAGCACAGTCTTCTTGCATGAATCATTCAACAAGCATTTATTAAGTTCTTACTGTAGACCAGGCACTGACATGACATTTAGGAGGCTTGTCAATCAATTAGTCTACAAGAGGCAGTATAAAGAGTATAAAGAGCAGTGAATATAAAATCAGAGAACCTGGTTTGGATTACTGATTGCTACTTCCTCTCTGTGTGACCTTGGACAGGCATTTATCCTGCCCTAGATCTCAGTTTCCTCAACTTCAAAATGACTACGTTTGTACTACATGGCCTCTCAGTTCCTTTTCAACTCTAGAAGAATAATCTATTGGATTCAAATTCTGACTCTGTCCACCTGTGTGATTTGGGCAAACCCCCTTTCCTCATTGGATCTCAGTCTTCTCATGTCATCTTCTCATCTGTCACCAATTCAATAGACTCAATGACCTCTTAGGTATCTTCAAGAAGATTCTAAGCATCCTTTGAACAAATATTTCAAGTTGAGTTCCATTAATTTGTCAACAAGAAGGCTAAGCATATGTGACTTGAACTGTGGTTGAATCACCAGTTAGTGATGGAGACAGTGCTGATATTGCCGGTATCCTTAACCTCAATTCGATTTCACTCTACCATATTGTCTCCTCCCATTGTTACCATCTTTTATTCTAAAGATTTGTAAAACATTTGCTGTTTCCTTTACACAATCTAAAAACTTTCTAGTTAGTTGTCATTGGAAGCATTTAAATTGAGATCAATAAACCTTTCATCAAACCTAATCTAATAAGACTGGAAACACATTTTTCCTTCAGTGACTTTGCCTCTTTCTCATGAAATCAAATGTGACCATTTAATTAAAACAACACTGCAATGAGTGAGAGTCATGCTAGCCTTCTCTGTGTAATGTCAACACCTTTACACTTCCTTTGAACTCGAGGAAAATCTTTCAGAAAAAGGAAATGCTTTGAAATGAACTTTTAGGTCTAGCCTGGAAGTGATTACCATCAGAAAGGGAGACCATGTTCATAATGAAAGGACCTATGTTCAGTAGCCACTGACTGGAAGAAAGAAAAAAGAATTACCTTTGATGTGTACAGATTGGTCAATAAATCTGCTTCCAGTGCTTTCATTTCCTCTTCTGAATCTGAAGGGAAAAAATAAAAAACACCTGCTTATCATCAAATATTAATTAGCTAGACCATACAGTTCCATGATCATCTTAGAAAGTTTTGGTTTGGTTTGATATTAAAAGGCTAAGATTTAATCAGGGACTGAGTTTCTTCTCTAAATATGAGAGATAGATACAGAAACAGGGAGTCAGAAATAGGCTGTAAGACAGAAAAAGAGAGAAATTAAAACATAAGAGTCAGAGCTAGAGAGACAGAGACACAGAGAAGGATGGAAATTCTGTCACAGATAGATAAAAACACAGAGTTAGAGAGACAGAGACACACAGAGAGACATAGAGACAGAGATAGAAAGACAGAGTCAGAGAGAAAAATCAGTTAAAATTACCTTCTTAATAGGTGTCTAGAGTAACAGACACTCTTATTTAAAAAATCTGCATGTAAGGTTGTTAAAGAAGGCATTGGATTGAAGCAATTTCTCTAAATAATTTCTATATCTTCCATATTGTATGTACTTGGGTCATAGATATTGTATATTTCAGTTTTCCTGGAAATATAATCCTGTATTTGATCCTTACCAGGCATGTAAGCCACATCTGAAAACTGTCATTATTCAATTTAAAGGAGTCATAGTATCCAAGACCTAGGGCTGGAAGGATCCAAGTGGTCAGCTAGTGCAAACCTCTTATTTTATAAAAAAGGAAAGAGAAGCCTATAAGGTCGAATGTCTAGTCCAAGGTCACACAAGGATTATAGTAGCAGTGCTGTAATTTGAACCCAGATCCTGTGATTCCACATGCATTTCAACTGTTAATGTACTGACCACATGTACTGCCTCATCTCTAAATTATATAATTTTAAAATGCATGATGTATGAGTCCAAGAGAAAGTCTTAAAATTAGAACACAGTCCAGTCAACAGTCTGTTGACAACAGTCAATAACGCTTCACTGACCCTTTGAGCAAAGGGTACTATGACTTTTCTGAATTCACATATTATTTTAGACTTGAGTATACATTTTGAAGCAATTGTCTTATTGTGCAAGGAAGTGGTAATGGGCAATTCATTTAGGAAATGAAGGTCTATTCTCACATTAAATTAGGGGGGAAAATTGGCTGAATATTCCTGACTCATGGACTTGAAAATTTCTATAGTCTTTATAATCACTGCTTTATGCTCTCATGGATTTTCTTTTCATAAAGAACATTTAAACAGTTTTATTGACCTCTTTTAAGTAAACTGACAGAGCTCTATTAAAAAAAAAGCCTGCTATATTAATTCAACAACACTGTCTTATGTTTTCATTTTAAGACAAGCTAGATTCAGTGAATAAATGACAGAGGCCTTTTATCTCCTCATATATACATGAAAGGGCTGAACAGATGCATTAAGCTTGGATAAACAATTTGTTAACAGGCTTTACTAGGAGGTGTCACTTTTCCAAGGAGACAGGATTGCTTTTCCTTAGGGACCATATTTTACATTATTTTTTTTTCCCTAAAGAAAATAAAGACAAATACCCTAAGCCATTTTAAGTGGTCAATCACTAAAACCCATAAATTAGGAATCACTGTTGAAAGCAGTTTAAGATGTTTGGGACCAAGTGTTTAATTAAGCAACAGCCATCCCTTTCAAAGATAGCTTTCATGACATGCAACTATGTGGTAAGAATGAGTACAACATATCACAAAATAAAGCTTTATCAAATTAGACCTATTTTCTCCTATAAATGTTAAATCACCATTCTCAAAATTTGCATGAATAAAAAAATATTTCTTTTTAAAACACTTTTATGCATTTTTCTGTTATAGTAATTTTTAAAATGCAGATAGAAGTTGAACATAAAGACGGAGTTAGATTTCATAAGTTCTGTACCTATGAGCTGTGCAGGGGGGGAAAAAAGCTAATGTCTGAAAATATGTGCTTTTGAATACCATAAGCCATCCTCAAATGGTCTATGCTTGAAACCTATAAATTACGGTTCATCTCAGAAGACTGTTTTAGATTTAATGAGCAAAGTGTTTAAGTAATAACCAATCCTTTCAAATATAATTTAACTATGTCTTTCATCCCATATAACTATGTGGCTATTGCTATATATATCCCATATAACTATTGCTAAGAATGTCCGAAATTGACATATATTTTCTCAGTTCATTTTCAAGCTTATTTCTGCAAGCATCTTTGACTCGGCAAAGCTATAAAGAGCCACTGTCTATTGCAAACTTATCTTCTGTGAGAGAGTTCTAAAATAACATGCAATCAGCAATGTCTTTCCTGTTGCCTCTTCTCCCAAGTACCAAATACATAAGAATATGTCAGCTTTATTCTATCTACAAAAAAAAAATAGGGCTGCTGATTTTTCCCTAATTTGCTTATAGTACCTTCCAAAGCAAATAGAAAACCACTTTTTTAAAAAAAAATTCTCTGATATTATACAAAGATTGCTCAATTTTCTAAGGTATGTAGTGATGTGTTGTAGGCATCAAAAGTTATAAGTCTTTCATATTAGATGCAATAATCATTCTTGGTAATCACAAACCAACTTTCACTATTATCTTCATATTCACTAGTATGTGTTTAGAATTTTTGCACATTACCAATCATAAGGGAGAGAAAAAAACTAAAAGCCTGAATGGGGATGATAATTAAGTGTCTTAATTTAATGATGAGTGCCCGATTGGTTTGACAGATACTGCCTCTGCACTCTCAATTGGGCAAAAAAAAAAGCCTGATTTAGCCTTATTCGTTCAGTGTTGGAGTTTCAAAAAGTGTCGAGCAGTATTTTCATCTATCACACTGGCACTAGCTTTGCAGATTTTTAAAGAAAATACTTATGTACTTCCCTGTCTTCATAGATAAATTAAGCAGGCATTCACACTATATATCCATATGGAACAAAAACTGGAATAAGTTAAAAATTCTCTAAGGGTGCATTAGCATAAATAGCAGAAAACAATAATTTTTTAAAAAAGATTATTTCTCACTTAGCAAAGAGCAGCTGAGCTTACCTGAGCACAGACTCTGGGAGGTAAAAGCCAGAAACATCATGCAGACCAGGTGAATTCTCATTCTTGACATCATACTTTAGTCTTCTAGAAAGTAAAGTCCATAAATATTAGAGAGAGCGAGCGAAGCTGCAAACGAGTATCTCTCTGCTTTCCTATTGCCTTCAGCTGACTTTGAAAGTGAGTGAACCATGAGGGGAGCTCTGGACGATTCCCTATATATACATAAGCAGTGGGATGATGTCACAAATATACAGGGATTATCTCTTTGTGAAATGGCCTCCTTTGATTCCTTCCCCCTTCCCTTTACACTTTCTCCTCCCCCTTCCCCTCTGCCTCCCTCTCCTCCTCCACAGATGAATCTTGAGTGAGACTGATGCTGTTCACTAATTGTATTGCTTTACATTTCTGACGTACTCAGGAGCCATTCAAAATTGCTGCCTTGTAGGGCAAACTGGACCCCTAGGCAGGAAACCTGCCAGTAGCTGGGCACCTCTTTTCCACTTATTGCTGTCCTCTCCAAAAACTTTTCATTTTTTTTTTTCATGGAAGATCACTGGTCCTGAAGTCCCTGGTTTTCAGTCCTAATCTCCAAACATAGATACATGGGGAGTCAGTGACTTTATTTATTTATTTTTTAATGTTAGCAGCAACCAGAAATAATAAGAAGACATGCTTGAAAAACAGAACTTGTGATCAAGTGTCCTCTGGATTTTAGTATTTTCAATAGCATAGGTTTTGGAGAAATCAGAGGAAAAAGAGTGTGATGGGCAGAGCATGATACCAAATGAGTGAACTGAGCTGAGATAAGGCAAAAAATGGAAATATATTAGGAGAAAGAGAGGTGAGAGAAAAAAATAGAATGCATGCTATTTTTTGACTTGATTTTTATGAATATCTCTTGTTTTTAATCACATTTTCCCAGTATATTTTCCCTCTCTTTTCCACCCTCACAACCTAACAACATAAAATGCAAATCAGCTCAGCAAAAGTAAACCAGTCCAAAGGTATATTCAATGGACAACATAGTCTCAATAATAAGTGGACTTTTCTTCTCCAATTTGTTTGATTTATATGATCATGTTAATAGTTGTTCCTTTGAAAGGATGACAAACTTATCTAAGATCATAAATTCTAATGAATATCTTGGAAAGCAGATTTTATCTGCAGAGAGAAAGTCTGCCAAACATAGCATATTTATCTAAGATTAGGTAGGCAGGAAGACAATATATTAGGACCCCAGTAAATTCTGATCAATATTGGTCCCTCCTCATTTTTAAATAAATTGCCTCTGCCCTTCCTTCTGCATCTCTCTTGCTGTTATCCAGTTTTAACTAACTCTTACCTTAAATAAGAATGGGTATTCTTCATCCTCTGTCTCTTCTTGAATTTACCTTTTCACGAACTTCTTCTCCTTCTCATCATCCTCTTCTGTACCTAGAGAAAATGGCTCTTTACCTCTAGAAAGCTGATAGTCCAATACACACACCATCCCCAAGAATCACTTTTCTAACAGAAATCTTTCACTTTTTTTTCCCACTAGCACAATGACAGTCATATGCAGTTCTCAGAAGAAAATTGCTCAAACTGCCTTTTTATGAGAGTCTTTTTTTTTCTTTTTGGTTTTTTTCTTAGAGTATTTCATAGAGTGGGGAGAGGGATGAGAAGAGAGAGAATATTCTGTGCTTACATGCATCAGGTAAGAGAAAATTCGGTGTTCCTCTTTAGAGGGGGTATCTTACAAAGTCTCAGTGCCTTAATTGTTATTGAAAACAAAATCCAAAATACTCAGTTTTCAAGAGAGTGAAAATTGATTTACCTTCAGTGTCATACAGGAAAATTGCCATGAATTTCTTCCCCTTTCCCTGAATTTGAAGAGAAAAGATGAACATTACCCATTTCATAACTACTTTAATAAGCAACAACATCTTTACAATCTACGTATTTAAGAAATGTATTGACTGCTCCAATGTGTGATATCATTGATCTGTATAGGGAATTGTCAAGAAATAAAGGATGGAAAAGAGGAAGCAAGGGGCCAGTTTGATATAAGTGAATGAAGGGTGAATTTAATTCTATGTGAAAAGGTGTGAGTAGCTCTTTGCTTCCATCAGGGGGCGCCATGGAAGTTTCATAAAGCTTCCCACACCAACAATTTGCCTGAAAGTGCTAGAAGCTTTGGGATTTTGTTTATTTGTCTTTTCCTATCTCTGGATCGCTAGGAAATAATTTCTTTGGTGGAATCAAGACAGTAGTAAATGCGCTTTGCTTTTTTTTTTTTAATTGCTGTTGGTTTCTCCATGTTCATTCAAATACTATTCTGAGAAATATGCATATCTACTAGAAAACTAATAATGATAATTTAAAAAACAGAAACAAAACCAAACAGGAATAGTAGGTATGATTCCCAGTATATCTTTAGTGCAGACTCTTTCAGTCAATGAAAATTTCTTGTCCTGTGTTGACAGAATCCTACTAATTGTTCTAATAGAGACTCAGATGTTTCTGAAAAGTTTTCTCAATGAAAATTAAAGAAATTAAAAAAGAAAAAAAGTGATTTTTAAAATAAACAACTATATATGCATATATGTGTGTATATCTATATATACATATACATATATGTGTGTACATATATGTATATATGCACATATATACACATATGAAATTGATTATGAAGTTTCAGAGAGAGACAGAGAGATGAAACTTCTTTATCAATTTTTTTGGGGGGAATGAGCCAGCAAAATGCAAAATAGTAATAGGACCAAATAGAAAATGTTTTCTGTTAGTTTTTTTAAATCATTGTCAAAATTGTGGTGAATTCTGTGCCTAGTGTCCTCCATATCTTTTTCCTCATGTTTATGTATTAAACCTCCAAGGTGCCAAGGTGGATCATTGGGTCCGATCATCTTTATTTTACAGATCAGGAAACTACAGTCTAGAGAGGCTGTGATTTGATCAAAAAGTGTTAGAGACTGGGTTTGAACCTAAATCCTTAGACTCCAATTTTAGGTTTCCTTGCTAAAGGGGTCACAATCTCCATCATTTAACGATACTTCTTTTACCTACCATTCAACCATCTGTAAATAAAAGCTAAAAATAATTCTTTTCAAAAACTTATTTCCCACCACAAAATAACCTCAAGTCTGGCAAAGTTGAAAGAAAAGACTACAAGGTATCTCAGCTAAGCAAGTTCATTCACGGGTGTTATGACTTTCTTATTTCACAGATGAGGAAACGGAAAGCCAAGGAGATCAACTAAACATTAGATCATTGATTTAGAAATGGAAAAGACCTTAAATGGTCACCAAGTACAACCCCTTTGTTATACAGATGCTGAAACTGAGGCTGAAATAGATTAATTGACTTTCCCAGGGTCACAGGGCTATTAAGCATCAGAAACTGCAAATGAACTGAGGTCTTCCTGACTCCCAACCCAGTTCTTACTCCTCTGTGCCACCTTTCTGCCTTACTCAATGAACAACAATATATTCAATGACTATGATGTGCCAAAGTACTGAAGATATTAAGAAAAAATTAAATGATGTCTAACCTCAAGGAGCTTAAATTCTATAGGTATAAAGTGACTTACTCAGGATCACACATACAGTAGCATATCTAGGATTCAAATCAGGCTCTCTAACTCCAAATCCAATTATCTTTGCCAGGACCTCCTACTCACCTCAGGACAAAGTATACCTTCCCACATACTAACTTCCTCACTTTGGGGGAAAAAATCAGCAGAAAAGCTGAATAAAATAATTACCAGTGTGTTAGAGACACACCAACAAGCGCAATGTCTTAACTCAAAGGAATATGTAGGTAAGAAAAATTTTAGTTTTGATGAGGAAGACACTTTTAGTACCCCCTCAAATCTTGCTATTCAGAAGAGTAGCCCTAGAAATGCCAAATAGGTCCAGAATAAGTCATCATGCATTTAGTGATATTCATTGATTACTTGCTATATGCAAGGCTGTATTAGGCTAACTTCTTCCCCTTTGCTAGGTTTTCCCATGCTTGCCCATGATTTTTTTATTTTTCCTCTTGAATTCAAGGTAGTCTGTTATGTTGAAAAAGGCACCATATTTATTGTCAGTGTTCACCTAAGTTGGGACACTCAAGCTGTTTCTTACTATGTATACAACCTTAAATATATTATTAAATCTCTTAAATCTCAATTTCCTCACCTGTAAAATGGGTAGATTAGTTGGATAATACTGAATTTACTCCTGTAAATTGTATTTGTAAAGGCTTTCAAAACAACTTCTTAGAGTTTTTCCTTCCCAACCTCATCCCACCAGGCTTCAGACAGGTATCATTTATTATAAATCTTTATCCTTAGCTTTTGGTATTCTGGTTCCCAGTCTGGGTTCACCAGGGAACATTTTGCTTAAACTTATCATTTTTTCTTTACACATGATAACTCAGTATATTTAAAAATAGTAAGTGTGAAATATCTATATATGTTTGCATATGTGGCTACATATAGGCATATATGTGTATATGCACATGTAGATAGGCACATATTATTCTACTATGGCTTTATAGTAAGACTTGTATGATAATTATATCTGATTTCAGGTCCTATAACTTAAGTGAGTTTTGAGTAACTTAGAATGCAGAGGAAATTTATCAAAGTAAACAAAGGATTAGAAAATAAGTACTTGACTATAATAATAGCTGACATTTACATAGTGCCTACTGTGTGCCAGGCACTGTGCTAAGTGCTTTACAAAGATTGTCTCATCTGATCTTTATAACAATGTTGGAGCTAGAAGCCATATTATACAATTGAGGAAACTGAGGCAGAGGTTAAATGACTTACCCAGGATAACACAGCTAGTGAGTATCTGAGGCCAGAGTCAAACTCAGATCTGCCTGATTCCAGGCCCAGCACTCTATCCACTGAGCCACCTAGCTGCCTCCCAGGTCCACTTGATGGAAGCTAACTATCTCATATTGGTCACTGCCATCACCTTTGTTCCCCCTGCAATCTCACAGGCTAAAAAGCTTCAAGTCATCATGGATTCTTCCCACTCTTTTCATGTCATATCTAATCTGTTACCAAGTCACACAATTTCATTTTAGTTATCTCTTAGCTTTAGTCCTTCTGTTCCATTCTTACTGTCATCCCACAAATCCAGTTCATTCCTCACTCTTTCATGATACAGTGGAAAGAACCCTGCCTCTGGAGTTGGAGGGCCTTGGTTTACATTCTTTCTCTGATGCTTTATTACCCATGAGGCTTTGGGCAAGGTAATTAACCTCCCTGGCCTTTTATTATCCCAAATGTAAAATCATTAGATCG